TTGAATGCTCAGTCAAACTCATTTTAGCACCGTATTCTGGAAAAAACTGCAGGCATTTACAAAGGAAACACTGCTGTTTATTATTTAACACACACTTCCACAGTAAGGGCAGTATTTTCAGGAGGGTGACTTGGTGTCAAATGATGGATCCTTCAGTCTTCTGTCTTTGTGATTTTCAAATCCACATATTTCTGTATATAACTTCAGTGCCATACTATTTGGCTCTTGATATTTCTTTTCAAAAGATACTGAAGGCCAAATCAAAAGATTTGAAGGCGTTAGCTTTCAAAAGATAATGAAGAGGATCCTTGAAACATGGCCTCCTGACAATGGGAGACAATTTTTCACCCCAGGGAGGTGCGAACTTTTCAAGTTGTTTGGTTTCGTTTGATTGAATGGGATGATCTTCTCCTTTAGAGTTGATGTGGTCATATTTCATAACACAACTGGAGCAAAAGATAGCAAATACAGAAAAGCAGAAAGTCAAACCTTTGGTTATAAATGTTTCTTATGGCAGTGACCCTTTGTGAATTTTAAAATTGAATTTAAGACCCCTTTTTGTCATTCTCCACATTTTCAATTTAAGTAAGTAAGTCTGCCCCTAGAGACACGGTGTTTTATTATTTGACAAAGCATTTTAATTACGTGTTTGTGAGCCCAAGACTAAAATAGGATGGTGGGGGGGATGGCATAAGTTACTATTTGCCAGAGGCAATCTTGAAAACAAATGACTTTTCTTATATGATCTTAAAATATACCAATTGCAGAAGATATATGTTAAAGATGCAAAATACATGTGCATTCACATATTTATTTATAATATATAGTTTATAAATTTGCTTAAACTTTTTTTCACCAAAGGGAGCAGAATAAAAGCTATGTTTATGTTTGAAAATATTAACTGTCCAAAGAGCTACATTATTTACAAAAACTAAAATTGTACTTTTGTGTATTATTTGACATAAGTATATTATGGAGAAATACATATTTTTTAAAACTGTATCCTTTTTTTTATTTTGAGGAAGATTAGCCCTGAGCTAACATCTGCTGCCAATCTTCATCTTTTTGCTGAGGAAGACTGGCCCTGGGCTAATATCCGTGCCTATCTTCCTCTGCTTTATCTGTGGGAAGCCCTACCACAGCATGGCCTGCCAAGCGGTGCCATGTCTGCACCTGGGATCCGAACCGGCGAACCCCGGGCCGCTGAATCGGAATGTGCGCACTGAACCGCTGCGCCACCGGGCCGGCCCCAAAACTGTATACTTTTATAGCATTAATTTCTTAATATAACAGGCGCTAGATACAATCTACAAAACCGTATCATTCCCAAGACTTTCTAATAAAAGTAAATTGTCATTCAGTTGGGCCACCATTTACTAATAACTGTTCATGTAAAGAAACTATATGAGATACAAAGGTGAACAAGGGGCACCATATTTGGGCAAGCAGCACACACAAAAATTATAGTTCATCTTTCTGAGAATAATGGATAATTTTGCTAAGAATGAACAAAATATATATTTTTATTTGTCTTTCTCTCAAAATGAAACTCTTTGATTTTTTCCTGATAATAAAGTGAAAACATCTTCATAATAAAGACAATTCAAGCAAACACTGCTCTGTGTAGTAGTGAGGGAACCTCATCCTTCTTGAACTTCCCTACCTGTCAACCTCTCCCTCCACCCCACCCTCGCTCCAGGGCTCCCACTCCACAAAGGTGATAAAAGTTTGATGCCTGCGTACACATGTCTATGTGCGTATGTGCTTGCACAAGTATGTACTTGCACGGGCAGCACTTGCTGTGGAGTTCAGTGTCTGGCGTGCGGTAAGCACTCAAGACACGTAAGCTAAAATCATATAGATCTCTGATGTGTTTTAATGGAAATTTAACGTTCATTTTATTGTATCTTAATTTGTTAACCAAGTTCCTCTTTCTTTTTTATTTTTTATCGAGGTATAATATCACACAACACTATATAAATTCCAGGTGTCCAATACGGTGATTCAATATTTGTATATGTTGCAAAATGATCACCACAATAAGTCTAGTTAACATCCGTCAGCATACATAGTTACAGAATTTTTTTCTTATGATGACAACTTTTAAGATGCACTCTCTTAGCAACTTTCAAATATGCAATATAGTGTCCTTAAGTACAGTTGCCATGCTGTGTGTTATATCCCCATGACTCATAAATGAGTCTTATAACTGGAAGTTTGTCCCTTTGGACCACCTACTCCCATTTCACCCACCCCACCCTCACCCTCCACCTCTGGCAATGATCAATCTGTTTTTTGTATCTATGAGCTTAGGGTTTTTTTTTTTAGATTCCACATATAGCTGAGATCATAGAATATTTGTCTTTCTCTATCCAACTTACTCCACTTTGTGTAATATCCTCAAGGTCCATCCATGTTGTCACAGACGGCAAGATTTTCTTCTTTTTTATGGATGAATGATATTCCATTGTATGTATATACCACGTTTCTTTATCCATTCATCCACCAATGGACACTGATGTTGTTTCCATGTCTCGGCTACTGCAAATGCTGCAGTGAACATGGAGGTGCAGATATCTTTTGAAGTTAGTGTTTTCGTTTCCTCAGATCAATACCCAGAAGAGGAATTACTGGATCATATGGTAGTACTATTTTTAATTTTTTGAGGAACCTTCATATTGTTTCCCATAGTGATCGCCCCAATTTACATTCCCATCAACAATGCACATGGGTTCCCTTTTCTCCACATCTTTGCAGCATTTGTTATCTCTTATCTTTTTTATAATAACCATTCTAACAGGTGTGAGGTGATATCTCATTGTGGGTTTGATTTACATTTCCCTGATGATTAGTGACATGAGCACCTTTTCATGTACCTGTTGGCCATCTGTATGTCTTCTTTGGGAAAATGTCTATTCAGATCTTTTGCCCATTTTTTAAACAGATTGTTTTTTTGCTATTGAGCTGTATAAATTCTTTGTATATTTTGGATATTAACTCATTAGCAGATATATGATTTGCAAATATTTTCTCCCATTCAGTAGGTTGCCTTTTCATTTTGTTGGTGGTTTCCTTTGCTGTGAAGAAGTTTTAGTTTGGTGTAGTCCCACTTGTTCATTTTTGCTTCTGTTGCCTTTGCTTTTGGAGTCAAATTAAAAAAATCATCACCAAGACTCAAGTGAAAGAGCTTGCTGTCTATGTTTTCTTCTAGAAGTTTTAGATTTCAGGTCTTACATTCAAGTCTTTAATCCATTTTGAGTTCATTTTTGCATATGAGGAAGATGATGATCCAGTTTTATTCTTTTGCATGTGGCTGTCCAGTTTTCCCAACACTATTTTTTGAAAAGACTATCCTTTCCCCGTTGTATATTCTTGGCTCCTTTGTTGTAAATTAATTGACTATAAATGCGTGGGTTTATTTCTGGGCTCTCTCTTCTGTTACACTGATCTATGTGTCTATTTTTATGCAAATACCATTCTGTTTTGATTACTATAGCTTTGTAATATAGTTTGAAATCAGGGACCATGATGTCCCCAGCTTTGTTCTTCTTTCTCAAGATTGCTTTGGAGATTTGGGGTCTTTTATGATCCCACGCAAATTTTAGGATTGTTTCTTCTACTTTGTGAAAAATGCCTCTGGAATTTTGATAGGGATTGATTGCATCAAATCTGTAGATTGCTTTGGGTAGTATGAACACTTTAGCAATATTACTTCTTCCAATCCGTGAGCTTGGAATACTTTTTCATTTACGTGTCTTCTTCAATTTCTTTCATCAGTGTCTTATAGTTTTCACTGTACAGGTCTTTTACCTCTTTGATTAAACTTGTTCCTAGATATTTTATTCTTTTTGATGTAATTGTAGATAGGATTTTTTTTAAAATTTCTGTTTCTGGTAGTTTGTTATTAGTATATAGAAACTCATCTGAGTTTTGTATATTGATTTTGTATGCTGCAGCCTTATGAATTCATTTATTAATTCTAACAGTTTTTTGGTAGAGTCTTTAGGGTTTTCTGCATATATCATGTAATCTGCAAATAGTGACAGTTTTACTTCTTCCTTCCCAATTTAGATGAGTTTTATTTCTTTTTCTTGCCTAATTGCTCTGGCTAGGACTTCCAATACTATGTTGAATAAAAGTGGTGAGAGAAAGCATCATTGTCTAATTCTTGAACTTAAAGGAAAAGCTCTCAGCTTTTCTCCATTTAGTATGACATTAGTTGTGGGCCTATCATATATGAGACTTTATTATGTTGAGGTATGTTCCCTCTATACACACTTTGTTGAGTTTTTATCATAAATGGACGTTGAATTTTGTTGACTGCTTTTTCTGCATCTATTGAGATGATCATATGATTTTTATTTTCTATTTTGTTAATGTGGTGTATCATGTTGATTGATGTTGTGGATGTTGAATAATCCTTGCATCACTGGAATAAATTCCACTCTTCATCGTGTATGATCTTTTTAACATGTTGTTGAATTAGGTTTGATAATATTTTGTTGAGGATTTTTCCATTTATGTTCATCAAGGATATTGGCCTGTAATTTTCTTTTCTTATGATGTCCTTGTCTGGTTTTGGTATCCGGGTGATGCTGGCCTCGTAAAATGAATTTGGAAGTATTCTCCCCTCTTCTATTTTTTGGAAGAGTTTAAGAAAGATTGATATTAATCCTTCTTTGAATGTTTGGTAGAATTCACCAGTGAAGTCATCTAGTCCTGGACTTTTGTTTCTTGGGAGGCTTTTGGTTACTGATTCAATCTCCTTACTAGTAATTGGTCTGCTCAGATTTTGTATTTCTTCATGATTCAAATCTTGGAAGGTTGTATGTTTCTAAGAATTTATCCATCTTTTTCTAGGTTGTCCAATTTGTGGACATATAATTGTTCATAGCAGTCTCTTATAATCCTTTGTATTTCTATCAATTGTAATGTCTCCTCTTTCATTTCTGATTTTATTTATTTCAGTTCTCTCTCTTCTTGGTGAGTTTAGCTAAAGGTTTGTCTTTTTTTTTTTTTTTGTAGTTTAGCAATCATTCATTGGGAATTCACTGAGAACCAAATTGTTCTTGCTTTTCCTGTCACCTCCAATTCTTTTTGTCACAGGATTGAGGAAGATAATTAGCCCCCTACGGAGTCATAAACAAAGATAAGTTAGGGAGCATATATTAAATTTCATTTAGTGTTCTTCCCCTAGTTCCATTAGAATAATTATTTATCTTGTAACCTGATTCAGTGGTTGGTTGAGGGTGCATTTCAGTGTTAACTCAAATACTGGTTTGGATCTTTTCTACTTCCTGGAAAAGTCCAGGCAGCCCTTGTTTACGTCCCAAATGCATTTCTGGAAACCACACAATGTAGGGATCTGTGGTGACACAGATCAATTTCCTTCTTCAGATAAGTGTTATAACTGAGGATCATAGTCCTTTTCCGGCTTCTAGAGTCTGCCCACATTCATTGGCTCATGATCCCCTTCCATCTCTAAAGTCAACAATGGCCAATCATGTCTTTCTCAAGATGATTTTAGAATTTAAAAAATATATATATTTACTTATTTATTTTAGGTTTTTTTTTCTTTTTGAGGAAGATTATGCCTGAGTTAACGTCTGCTGCCAATCCTCCTCTTTTTGCTGAGGAAGGCACTGAGTTAAGATCCGTGCCCATTTCTTCTTCTTTATATGTGGGATGACCACCACAGCACGGCTTGACAAGCAGTGAGTAGGTCTGTCTGCACCTGGGATCCGAACTGGCGAACCCTGGGCTGCCAAAGCAAAACATGCGAACTTAACTGCTGCACCACTGGGCCAGCCCCATAACATTTTTTTTAATTTGTTTTTAACCTGTAATATGGCAGGAATTTCTGTTCACATAAAATCATATAGATCTCTCATATATTTTAACGAACAGTTAGCATTCATTTTATTGTTGTATCTTAATTTGTTAACCCAATCCCTCTTGAGGAACATTTCAGTGGCTTAAAATAATTTTTGCGATAATAACAATGGTAAATATTGCCCTCCAAAAATACTGAACTAATTTATACTACCACTGACAATATATGAGAAAACCTATTTACTCACACTGTCATCAATACCTGGCATTACCAGTACTTTTATATTTTTGCTACTCTGATGGACAAAAGATGGTATCACATTAATTGGCATTTTTGTCGGTCATACTTCATATGATTACTGGTCATGGATTTTCTTTGGGATTGCCTTTTCATGTCATGCAACCATTTCTTCCTATGGAATTGTTTGTGTATTTCTGGTATGTGTTATTTCTTTACATATTATGAACATTAACTGTATGTCTCCCACCTAGGTTGCAAATATTTTTCTTCAGTGATTCATTTGTCTTTTGATTTTGTATATTCTTCCATACAAATATGCGTCAACTCTCTTTATTTTTTTATGCTCTATGACCTTTCGATGTCAATCTAGAAAAGCTTTCCACTTCAAATTTAGATAATACTTGCTCTTATAGTTTTCCAGCTCCAGTTTTATTACTTTTACAGCTTTTTTACACTTAAATCTAATCCATCTGTTCTATCTGAACTATTCTCATTCATCTATCCTTTTAGATAAATTGAACATTCTGGTTTTATGTATCTATTTATTTTGGTCAAAATGAATAATATGTATGGATTGATTTGGAAGAGTATTTTACCAGTTTTGTCTTCCTACCCATAGCAGAAATATGATATGCCTTTCCATGTATTTAAGTTTTTCTGTATGTCCTTCCACAAAGCTTACCAATTCTTTATATGGCTCCTGCATATTTCTGAAATTATGCAATATTTTTTCAGATATCTCTCTCAAAACTCTTGGGAAGAATTGGCTTTGGTGACATTCCTCACCTCTGAACAAGTCATCAGTGCTACACCATAGCATTCTATTTGGGTAGGCCCAATGAGGCTACCAATGAGGAACTCTGATAAGGCCAGGAACAGGGGAGGGTACACAGGTTGGTGGTACCCCCAATCCGAATCACATGACTGAGCAGGATTATTATGCATGAGGTTGGGGTAGAGTCCTAAAAGAATAGATGCTAGGTAGACAAAGTCAAGTTCTGGAAAAACCGGAGAATAGCTATTATATTTTTTCAGACAATTTCATTCAGACGTTGGGTTAATTACTTGAGCTGTCTGGTATTATAGATAATCTGATCATGCACAATAGATCTGGATAGGATTATAAACATTTTATTCAGTATTTCCTACATATTTCAGACCAAATACAGCACAGATGTGAGTACTATGGGACCAAAAATGAGAGAAGAATTTTATACCAAATTTTTCTTTCTTTTTCTAAACTATGATTAATCTAAAATACTAGCTCATCCCCATGTAAATCTTTAATACCAGCCACACCAGCTCCTCTCTCTACCTTGGTAATTATCACTTCTGCCTCCACTATCTCATCAAAAATTAGTGAACTAGAATAAAGAAACCTAGACTGTCACAGCAAATTAACATATTCACAAAGTTTTATACCAAATTGAGATTATTTTAGAGAATGCTTATCTCTTCACTTTTATCTCTATTTTACTTAATATTAATTTTTGCTTAATTTTTCTTTTTACTGGGGAAACACAAGAAAAGGAAGATTTTCAAATTTCTTTATTTTGTTCTCCTATAAGGTTTCTCTCTCTTTTCTGTGCATGTGTGTCTAATTTTTGTTACATGGCACTTCTCTGAAAATTTTCTTGTGGCCACATTTTAATTATAGGATTCAAATTTAGTATCACTTGAAGGTTGTAAATATGTGTCCAGGGACTTAGGATAAGAGTTAAAAAATTAAATCAATATTTTCATTTCCATCTTGGGTCAGACACCAGTGACGAGAACAAATGACCTAATGACGAAGGTTCAAACTAGGTTACGATTAATGGTTAATTGCTTCTCCATGGAAATAAAAATGATGAATGTTAGTCTATAAATTGATTTCTGCAGATCCGCAGTGCTATATTGATACTTCTGAATCATTTCTGAGGTGTTTTGCTTGTGCTTAATAAAATAGGAACCTAAGGCAAGTAGCAGTTTACAGAAGAAGACTATTAACTAGCATAGATTGAGTTATAAGCCTCCTATTTGTATTCCTCAGGGGATATGGACTGATAAAAATTTAATCTTTGGCACATTTTATAGGCTAGAAAGGAACATATCACTTAGCTGTGCATATTCGAAGATGTGCTATCTCAAAACACAAGAGAGAATCCAGAAATACTTCACCCTAAGAGAAAAGGGGATATCGTGAAATGTTTAAAAATCAATGAAGATGCTCCTTAAGAAACCAGTAGTTATGGAATGTCCAATATTTGGAAGTGATGCCCTTAATATCATCATATGATAGATTGATTATTAAACAAAGTTAAAATAGCAAACAATAATAATAGTAAATAGTATTGCATGTGAATAACCAGAATTTTTTTTGTTTCATTTTTGAAGAAAATAATAAAATTACAGTTACAGGCATTTATATTTTAATTAAATAGAAGAAAATATTGAATTTGTTTTTTCCCTTTTTTTAATTAATAAAATTTGTTTTCTAAAGCAACTTTAGCTTCCCAGCAAAATTGAGTGGAAAGTCCAGTCCCGGTCCCTGCATGTGCCCAGCCTCCCACACTATCAACTGTGCCCACCACAGTGGTACTTTTGTTATAATTGATGAACCTATATTGACAGATTATTACTCCCCAAAACCCATAGTTTACATTCGGGTTCACTCTTGGTAGTGTGAATTCTATGGGTTTTGACAAATGTATAACAGCATGTATCCATCATTGTAATATCACGTAGAATGATTTCACTGCCCTAAAAATCCTCTGTGCTCTGCTTATTAATTCCTTTGTCCCCCCCTAATCCCTGGCAGCAACTAATCTTTTTACCATCTCCAGTTTCACCTTTTCCAGATTGTCACATGTTTGGAATCATATAGTAGGTACCCTTTTCAGATTGGCTTCCTCCCCTTAATAATACGTGCTTAAGTTTCCTCCATGTCTTTTCATGGCTCGAGTGCTCATTTTTTTTTTAGCACCGAATAATATTCCACTGTCTGAATGTACCACAGGTCCCACAGCTAATTTATCCACACATGTACTGAAGGACATCTTGGTTGCTTCCAGGTTTTGGCAATTATGAAAAAAACTGCTATAAACATCCACGTGTAGGTTTTTACGTGGACATAAACATACGTTTTCAAATCATTTGAGTAAATGCCAAGGAACATGTTTGCTGGATCATATAATAATAGTGTGTTCTGTTTTGTAAGAAACAGCCAAACTGTCTTCCAAGTGGTTGAATCATTTGCATTCTCACTGGCAATGAATGAGAAGTGGTGTTGCTCCACATCCTTGCCAGCATTTAGTGTTGTCACTGCTTTGGATTTTGGCCATTCTAATAAGTGTGTAGTAGAATCTGATTTTAATTTGAAATTTCCTAATGACATGTGATGTTGAGCATATTTTCATATGCTTACTTGCCAACTATATATATATCTTCTTTGGTGAGGTGTCTGTTCAGGTTTATACCCATTTTTAAATTAGATTCTTCATTTTCTTCTTGTTGAATTTTAAGAGTTCTTTGTATATTTTGGATAATGTTTCTTTATCAGATGTGTCTTTTGAAAATATTTTCTTCCAGACTGTGGCTTATCTTCTCATTCTCTTAAGGTTTTGTTTTTAGCACTGCCACAGATTTATTCTTTTTGTCAATCTTTACTGTCATTGAAATTCGATCATGGGAGAGAGACAAGATAAACATGGGTGTTTAGTGGAGTATTTTGAACCAAAAGTCCAATTCCTTTTGAACAACAAGGAGTAGGAAAAAACAATACTACTTTCAGAAATATTTGCTTATTTAAGTTTATTTTGTTTTTGCTGTCTTATATTGAGTGCTTTACTGTGAGCCACACTCAGCGATAAATTCTTTATATACATTCTCTCATTTAATCTTCGTCTAACCTTCAAAGACAGGCATCACCATTCTCCTCTTATAGAAAGGAAACTGAAGTTCAGGAAAGTTAAATTACTTGCCCAGTTCACGCAGCTAGTAAAAGATGGATTTGAATGATCACCTATAGCTGATGGTGCCAGACACTATACACTAAAAACTCTACGCACTACTTCT